CTCTACTTACTCATTGGTTTTTTTGTTGGCTTTTTATAGTTTATTTCAAATGGGGAGTACCAGGAGCTGGATTTGTGATAATTTTAACAGAAGTCTTTAATATTATTGGATTAGTTAGTAAAAAATATGTATAATTTTTAGTTTTTGTTGAAAATACTGATTTAAAAAAAAATATATTTGATGGGACAAAAATCTTACTAGATGTAGATAGATTTAAGAAATTTGGATTTTAATATATCAGAACTTCAATTCCTATAGTTTTGCATATTTTTTCAGAATTGTTTGTATTTTTTACTCTATCTTTTATTGCATTAAGTTTAGGGGTTTCAGAAATGAATGCTCATTTGGGTTTATAAAATATGTGTGGGGTTTATTTTAGTATTTTTACTATTAAAATTATTTTAGGAATTCCGATTAGTTTATCTATAGCAATGATGTCTTTTGTTGGAACTGAAATGGGTAGAGCAAATATCAAATTAGCAAAAATGTATATTTTCTTAGGAGTTATAATTTTTATTATTGCATGTGCAATTTCTTCACTATTTATTTGGTATAAAAAAGAATCATTAGCAAATTTTTATGCATCCTATTAGCATGAAGATGAATTCACAATAAAAGCTAAACAGATATTCTTGGATACTATTCCATGGTTGATAGGAGGCATGCTTGTAGTCGACGGCCTTTAAGGAACCCTAAGTGGAGCTTTGAAAGGAATAAACAAAATTAATCTTGTCTTTGTATTATTTTTAGTTATTATTCAGTACTCAACTATCATAGCTTATTATATTATTTGCCTTCCAATTGTTTCCTTTTTTGCATATTCATGGGGACTAGATTAAGGAGTGGTTGGTATTTGGCAAGGTTTTGGAATAGCAAATTTAATTTTAGCAATATTAGATCTTACTATTTTGTTTACTGTTGATTGGGAATAGGAATCGAAAAATATTATTAAAAGAGTGGAAACACACAATGAAATTGAACTAAAAACTTTGATTGAATTAGAAGATGAAAAATAAAATATGTGATTTTTAATTATAGTGTTGGTTTAAATTAAAATTGTTGAAACTTAATATATATCGTTTTAAATACTTATTGTTTTATTCCAAAAAATATTTTCAAAAATTCTTTTAGAATTATTATTGAAATATGTATTGATTTTAAATAATAAAATCTTTTCTAATAATTATGATAATTTTTATTATCTGGCAATTATGTCCATAAACAGTCTAAATCTGAGTTGTTAGTTTGGCAATTTTGCAAAATCTAATACACAAAGAATTGATATCAACAATAAAATACCATAATAGGTTCAAATTTAAATAAATCTTATTTTATTTTTTTGTCGCTTTTCTCAATCAGATTTAATCATAGTGAGTTACAACTTTTTTTTAAAAACATTTTATTTAATAGATATAAAAAATTTGAAAAAATCTCTTTCTAATTTGGCAAACAAATGCTCAAACCGTTTCCAATTAGGAGATTAGATTTCAAGAATTCAAGCTACTCCTCAGACCAAAACGAAAACTCATTCAAGAAGTGGGTTATTATTATAAAGAGACCTCAAGATGAGCAAGTAGAGCTTTCCTTCATGTAATCCTACATTCATCATGCTATATTTCGTGATCCAAATGGTAAAATTCTCATCTATAGTTGACTCCTTCCATCTATAATGACTCACTACTTTAAACTCAAGTGAACAAGCAAGCATAATTAATTCTCTACAACTCTTTTCACTTTCTTTAACAAAATATGTAAGATCATATACTAAGGTTTTAATCATAATCTTAAGTTTACTGGCCTTTATAATGAGGAATATTGAGCCAATAGTCACCTACACTATGATGTCAAGTAGTTAAATACGTGTTGTCGGGTAGAAGTCTTCATGTATGTTCAAGTATGATTAAGCAATATACCATTCAATAAATCATCCTACAAGGTAGTGAATACATCTTCTGCTCCTAAGACCCAGATGAGGATATTCGACACAATCTCAAAGGAAAAGGTGTATCCTAGAGGAAGACTCTAACCTAAGGTAGCATCAAAAGAAATCTTATTTTTCATGCCCTAATTTTTGTATTCTTATTGTAAAATACCTATATTATTTTACATAAACAAATAAATAGGTATTATTAAAATATTAGAAACTATAATTTATATTTTATCATAATTACTTTATTAAATAACATTAAAAAAATGATAAAATTTGTCGATATATAATTGTTGTCAATTTCACTATTCAAATTACTAAAATTAATCTCAAAAAGACTTTTAGTTACTTATTCATAATTTAATCCTAATTGTATAATATTCTTAATACATTTTTCTAACTTTTAAGATATATTTTATTTATACTTATATTGTTTTATAAAGTTGGAAAACTTACAATTTGAAATATAAATATTTTTATAACTAATGATATGTTTTGTGAATAATTTTATAGTTTTATTAAAATTTTAATTTAAAAAAAATACAAATCTATAATTTTTATCCTCTAATGATATATTAATTTATAGTTCTTGCTTAATCTATAAGTCTAAATACTCATAAATTACAAATCTATATTTTTATCATTTAATGATACATTTTATTTAGATTTCCTTTCGTTCTTTAAGTTTTAATACTCTTAAACTAAATATAAACAACATTTTTTCTCTTATAATTCTATATTTTTTTTAAAGTTAACTATTTCTATTTTTTATTTCTAAGTCTTAACTCATAAATTAGATTAACATATTTTTACCTCTAATTATATATTTGAAATATTTANTTTAAATAAATCTTATTTTATTTTTTTGTCGCTTTTCTCAATCAGATTTAATCATAGTGAGTTACAACTTTTTTTTAAAAACATTTTATTTAATAGATATAAAAAATTTGAAAAAATCTCTTTCTAATTTGGCAAACAAATGCTCAAACCGTTTCCAATTAGGAGATTAGATTTCAAGAATTCAAGCTACTCCTCAGACCAAAACGAAAACTCATTCAAGAAGTGGGTTATTATTATAAAGAGACCTCAAGATGAGCAAGTAGAGCTTTCCTTCATGTAATCCTACATTCATCATGCTATATTTCGTGATCCAAATGGTAAAATTCTCATCTATAGTTGACTCCTTCCATCTATAATGACTCACTACTTTAAACTCAAGTGAACAAGCAAGCATAATTAATTCTCTACAACTCTTTTCACTTTCTTTAACAAAATATGTAAGATCATATACTAAGGTTTTAATCATAATCTTAAGTTTACTGGCCTTTATAATGAGGAATATTGAGCCAATAGTCACCTACACTATGATGTCAAGTAGTTAAATACGTGTTGTCGGGTAGAAGTCTTCATGTATGTTCAAGTATGATTAAGCAATATACCATTCAATAAATCATCCTACAAGGTAGTGAATACATCTTCTGCTCCTAAGACCCAGATGAGGATATTCGACACAATCTCAAAGGAAAAGGTGTATCCTAGAGGAAGACTCTAACCTAAGGTAGCATCAAAAGAAATCTTATTTTTCATGCCCTAATTTTTGTATTCTTATTGTAAAATACCTATATTATTTTACATAAACAAATAAATAGGTATTATTAAAATATTAGAAACTATAATTTATATTTTATCATAATTACTTTATTAAATAACATTAAAAAAATGATAAAATTTGTCGATATATAATTGTTGTCAATTTCACTATTCAAATTACTAAAATTAATCTCAAAAAGACTTTTAGTTACTTATTCATAATTTAATCCTAATTGTATAATATTCTTAATACATTTTTCTAACTTTTAAGATATATTTTATTTATACTTATATTGTTTTATAAAGTTGGAAAACTTACAATTTGAAATATAAATATTTTTATAACTAATGATATGTTTTGTGAATAATTTTATAGTTTTATTAAAATTTTAATTTAAAAAAAATACAAATCTATAATTTTTATCCTCTAATGATATATTAATTTATAGTTCTTGCTTAATCTATAAGTCTAAATACTCATAAATTACAAATCTATATTTTTATCATTTAATGATACATTTTATTTAGATTTCCTTTCGTTCTTTAAGTTTTAATACTCTTAAACTAAATATAAACAACATTTTTTCTCTTATAATTCTATATTTTTTTTAAAGTTAACTATTTCTATTTTTTATTTCTAAGTCTTAACTCATAAATTAGATTAACATATTTTTACCTCTAATTATATATTTGAAATATTTATAATAATAAAGAAATACAATAATACGATTTTAATAATCTAGTGCAAAACTTTGATTCTAATAATTAAACTTTTTATAAAATCTTAATCTCATTTTGATTATGTGAATTATATATATATAAAATTCTAACTATTCTATATTTATGAAAACAATTTTAATCTGTAATCTATTTTTGATTCATACTAAAAGTATTAATTATCAATGATAGATTTAACGTAATAAAAATAATAATGCAATAGTGATATCAATTACGTGTTAAAAATAAACAATAAGAAGAACATAAAATTCACAAGTAATGAATAACTAAATTGACATCAAAAACTTAAGCGATAGAGAATGGAAACAATCTGATCATAATATAATTTAAGTAAATGCAAACTAAAATTATATATTAAATACCTTTACTAAATAAAATTTTATAGGTTCTTATTATATTTAGCATATGATTTAAGAGAGATACTTGATATGTTTAATTTTTATGGTATTTTTTAGAGATTTTTGACTAAATTTTTAATATTATCTAAATGTTTGATCAATTTTAGCTATTTTGATATTTTATTAAGTATAAACAAACCAATCAGTCTATTTATCACAATATTTATAGAGTTATATCAAGTTGAAGAAATGCAAACAAGTTTGTATTTGAAAGAATGTGAAATATAAAATAATTAAAAATGTACAGCTATATAGATTCCATCTATATTTAGTTTTTTATTTTACATACATTTATTTAGTTCATAAAATTATTAAATTTACTAAATTAATTATCAATAATGAATTATATGCGGGATAATTACGCAAGTGCAAAAAATGAAGTACCTATCTTGATAGATTATGGATCCTCGACAATCAAAGCAGTAATGGCATTGTTTTATTGAAAGGGCTATGCAACATCATAAGCTCCGGATGTAGTGATTCGCAGCTATATCAATAAATTTAAGGATTCTAATACACAATCAAACCAAATAGCATAATGGGATACAGATGTGTTTAAGAATTACAGATCTCCATTTGAGAAGAATCTCATTTAGCATTCTGGCGCATTAGAATAATTAAATGATTTTGTATTTGAAAGATTATAGGCTGGAAGACATGGGAGAGTGAATCATCCAATGATATTAACAGAATGCTTTGCTACTACTGATTTAGCAAGAATGATAGTGTTAGAGCAAATGTTTGAATGTTATTAGGTGCCAAGTGTTATGTTAGGAGTGGATGCATTGTTTTCTGTATTTCAAGATGATTTGGAGGCTTATTTAAAATAAACATAGCTTATAGTTCATCTTGGTGATCAAACTGTTCATGTAGTACCAATTGTTAATGGTCAAGTGGTATATTCAAATATCAAAAGACTGAATTTGGGAGGTTTAAACAGTTTGAAATACTTTTATTAAACAATCCAATTAAGACATCCACATTTAAAATTTACATATGCTCAAATGGATTATTGGCATAAATAATATACTAGTGTGGCCATAGATTATCAACTCTAATTGCGTTATTTTTAAGGACCATAATAATATTATGGATATAGAGATAAAATATCTGAATAAAATAGATTTTATGATGATTAATTGTAATTTTTAGATCCAATATATATTGATATACCTATTGTATAGAAAATTGTAAGTGCAGAAGACTTAAAGAGAAAGGATGAAAATAGATAAAGAATGAGAGTTAGATTATAGGAATCTATATAATAAAGTAGATAAAACAAGAAGTCTTAATTAGAATAACAATTAATGTCATTATAATAGGAATTAGAAACAGATTAAAATAATGATGAACTTAAAAAGAAAATTACAACTTTATAAGTTAAACTTGGTTTAGCACCTAAAGAAGCTTTAGATGAATTAAAATATAATTTATTAAATGTTCCTGATGATAAACTTACACCATCTTAATTAAATTAAAAGAGATATTAAAAAGTTATGCATGAATAAGCATTACTCAAAAAATAAAAAAATTAAGAATTTAAATAATTATAAAAAGATGCTAATAAATTTAAATTAGAAGAACCTGAAAAATATTTATAAATGCTTTATGAAAAAAGAGATCGTATAGTACTTTCAATTCAAGAAAGAAAAAAATTATAATAAGAAATGAATAGTAGGAATTCAAGATTCAATTAAAAAAGAATCTAAACTTTAGCTTTTCTTGGAGCTGATGATAAAGTTGAAGATGACTTTNATATTATCTAAATGTTTGATCAATTTTAGCTATTTTGATATTTTATTAAGTATAAACAAACCAATCAGTCTATTTATCACAATATTTATAGAGTTATATCAAGTTGAAGAAATGCAAACAAGTTTGTATTTGAAAGAATGTGAAATATAAAATAATTAAAAATGTACAGCTATATAGATTCCATCTATATTTAGTTTTTTATTTTACATACATTTATTTAGTTCATAAAATTATTAAATTTACTAAATTAATTATCAATAATGAATTATATGCGGGATAATTACGCAAGTGCAAAAAATGAAGTACCTATCTTGATAGATTATGGATCCTCGACAATCAAAGCAGTAATGGCATTGTTTTATTGAAAGGGCTATGCAACATCATAAGCTCCGGATGTAGTGATTCGCAGCTATATCAATAAATTTAAGGATTCTAATACACAATCAAACCAAATAGCATAATGGGATACAGATGTGTTTAAGAATTACAGATCTCCATTTGAGAAGAATCTCATTTAGCATTCTGGCGCATTAGAATAATTAAATGATTTTGTATTTGAAAGATTATAGGCTGGAAGACATGGGAGAGTGAATCATCCAATGATATTAACAGAATGCTTTGCTACTACTGATTTAGCAAGAATGATAGTGTTAGAGCAAATGTTTGAATGTTATTAGGTGCCAAGTGTTATGTTAGGAGTGGATGCATTGTTTTCTGTATTTCAAGATGATTTGGAGGCTTATTTAAAATAAACATAGCTTATAGTTCATCTTGGTGATCAAACTGTTCATGTAGTACCAATTGTTAATGGTCAAGTGGTATATTCAAATATCAAAAGACTGAATTTGGGAGGTTTAAACAGTTTGAAATACTTTTATTAAACAATCCAATTAAGACATCCACATTTAAAATTTACATATGCTCAAATGGATTATTGGCATAAATAATATACTAGTGTGGCCATAGATTATCAACTCTAATTGCGTTATTTTTAAGGACCATAATAATATTATGGATATAGAGATAAAATATCTGAATAAAATAGATTTTATGATGATTAATTGTAATTTTTAGATCCAATATATATTGATATACCTATTGTATAGAAAATTGTAAGTGCAGAAGACTTAAAGAGAAAGGATGAAAATAGATAAAGAATGAGAGTTAGATTATAGGAATCTATATAATAAAGTAGATAAAACAAGAAGTCTTAATTAGAATAACAATTAATGTCATTATAATAGGAATTAGAAACAGATTAAAATAATGATGAACTTAAAAAGAAAATTACAACTTTATAAGTTAAACTTGGTTTAGCACCTAAAGAAGCTTTAGATGAATTAAAATATAATTTATTAAATGTTCCTGATGATAAACTTACACCATCTTAATTAAATTAAAAGAGATATTAAAAAGTTATGCATGAATAAGCATTACTCAAAAAATAAAAAAATTAAGAATTTAAATAATTATAAAAAGATGCTAATAAATTTAAATTAGAAGAACCTGAAAAATATTTATAAATGCTTTATGAAAAAAGAGATCGTATAGTACTTTCAATTCAAGAAAGAAAAAAATTATAATAAGAAATGAATAGTAGGAATTCAAGATTCAATTAAAAAAGAATCTAAACTTTAGCTTTTCTTGGATCTGATGATAAAGTTGAAGATGACTTTGGAAAAGATGATAAAGATTGGGAAATTTATAGAAGTGTTACAAAAGAAATAGATTCAGCTGATGAAAAGTCAAAATATAAACTATAAGAAATTGAATAAGAACTAAAAGACCTAGATCCTGATTTCGAAATCAAAATTCTTAAATCAATAGCCAATGTTCATCAATTAGGAATGAATCTCAGTCAAGTCCAATTAAGTGTTGATCGAGTGAGATGTTAAGAAATCTACTTTTAACCTAATTTAATTGGAGTGGAACAATAAGGATTAGTAGATATGATTAAATTATCATCTAAAGGTTTAGATAAGCTATTATTATAAAACATTATCCTAACTGGAGGTGGAGCAAAAACATAAGGAATCATGTAAAGATTGTAGAAAGATTTAATATCAGAATATGATTGTCCAATTGATATTAAAATAGCTTCTGATCCAGTATTTGGAACTTGGTTTGGAATGAAAAACTTTGCGAATAAATATTAAAGTATGATTTCTTAATTTTCTATATCAATTGATGATTATAATGAAATTGGTACTTAAAAATGGGAGATATTTAAATAGCATCCATTTTCAAATATTGTAGATTGAAAAATAATATACATATTTTTTATAAATCCTATATTCTAAATATAAGATATCATGTGAAACTTATTTCAGGGGCTAAGTATTCTTTTTATGTAACTTTAATATTTAAATTTTCTTCACATAAAAAATATAATGGGAAAGTTACTGCATGACCTTTAATAAACTACTTTAATTTATCGTATTCATCTAAATGTTTGTTTGCTTTAAACTAAAATAATTTATATAATTGAATACTTCTTCATAATCAGATACTTTCTTAATATCATCATGAGGATAACAAGCAAAAATTTATTTATAAATTCTTGTATTAATGTTAGCTTATGCAGTTGATTCCTTTTCAAATTATAAACTCAAGGGATCAATGACTTCTTCATATTTCATATTAAAATGTTCCATATAAAGTGCAGTACGAAGAGTATGTGCAAATTTAGATGCTTTATATGGTATACCATTCATTATAGAATCAACTTTAATTTAATCTTAAACAATAATTGCAAGTTCTGAATCTCTATTTCCTAATAAACTTCTATCATTGATATTTGCAGATCCTATTAATGCAATTTCATCATCAACTATGATTAATTTTGAATGAATATAAATAATTTCAGTCACAGGTATTGAATTTGGTTCTGGAGATAATTCATGTTACCTAAGACCGAAGAATTAAATGTAATTTTCTGGTTTGATTCCATCTTATTTTAAGGTTTCTATTATAGATTTGCCTCCTCTACTTATGGTTTGATATTCAAAATGTAATTAAACTTTAAGAACAGCAGAATTGGATTAATCAATTTCACCTTCAAAACCTGGTAATAATGGAACAAAGACAATAACTTTAAATCTCTATTACTTTTCATGTGCTTCTTTAATTCTAGATATTAGAGCATTAGCCACTAAATTTTTAACAGGATTTCCAGCTGTATTACTAATAAAGAATTGATTTTCAATATAAATAAAATGTTAAGCATTTTTAATAAGTGAGACATAAGCATTTTAAATAGATTTCTCAGTATATTTAATACCAGTTGACCATGTACCAGATGATCTTGTTAATTATGTTACACATTTTTCTATAAATAAAGATGGAAATAATTACATTAATTTTAATTCATATCAATATGAGGAATGAAAAATTCTAAATTAATTTTAGCTTACATTCCTTCATAATCTTACTCATCTATTTAATCAAATTTTTCATCTTAAATTTTACTTTTTTGTTTATCTTAATTTTCTAAAATATAATAATGTTGTTCTTCATCATCGTCTTCTATTGTTTACCTCAATTATTTTTCTTACATTTAGTAATTATAGAACTCTTTATATTGCTATTGAATAAACTGCTGGGAATTAGATTGTTCTTAGATGGCACTTTCATCTTATTAAATTTTTTAATTTTTTTCTATTTAACCTTCTTCCGTTTTTATTTAATCTAAAAGAATCGGTTGCTTCATTTAAATTAAAGATTCCCTTCTTCCAGAATAAATAACATTTGAATTATCAATAAAACTTGAAGTATCAGTAGGAACAAATCCTTCCATTTTTAAATCATTAGCATGTAATAATTCTTACTTTTTCTTTTTTTATTTAGTCATCATTACATGATTCCAATATTAAACAAAATGTCTTGATAAATCAATAACTGAATCTCCTTTAATTTCTATATAAAAATATAATAAATAATTACAAATAGCTATATCATGCCAAGGCATTCTTGGTTCATTTTCTTTTAAAAGTGTTTATTCATAATTTCTTACATCAAAGAAATCTCTAACTCTAGAATTTGAAAAATCAATTTAAGGCCATAATTATTCAAAAGGATGAACATCAAATAAAAGATGTTTTTAATTATCCCATCTTCCAAAACATAAATCTAAACCACCCATAAATCCAATTTTTTAATCTATAACAACCATTTTTTCATGATGAGAAAATAATTTTGGTATTGCTTGAGATGGATGTTTTAATACCCTAATATTTGGAGACATACTTTCTAATTACATTTTTGAATGTTTTGGATCATTATATAAAAATGATAGTAAAGCATTGTACAATAATACTAAAACTTTAACTCCTTTATCAGCTGCTAATTTCAATACATTATCAAGTCTAGTATAAAGAAATTCACTCGATTAAGCATATTTCCTAACATCAACAGGTCTCTTTAAATACATTTCTGGACTCAACCACCAATCAGTAATATATATAGTTTCTTTAGCTTACAAGATTGCATCACAAACATCTTCAAAATATTAATCTCCATCAATATACCATTTACAATCTGAAGTTCTTATTGGAGAAAATGATCCAAATCTATGCAACTTTGTATATGGACTTTCCTTTATCGATTTAAAAAGTGCATACATAAAGTCGATAGAGGCTGTCAAATTTTCAGCTTTCAAAATTAATGTATCCTATGAAGAGAATATTATTAATTTCTATTTTCTGCCTAAAAAAAAGCAGAAACGAGCATCAAAACTTAGACATTCTCGAATTTAACATTTATCTTTTTCAGGACCTTCTAAGTAGAGAAGGGATTAT